TTTCGTTACGAAATCACTCGCAGCTAGCTGATTTCGGTACAAATTCAGTCTGCTAACTTGCGACGCGCGGTCGCCGAGTTGTCGCATGCATTTTCGTACGACAGGTAGCCGCTGTAGTTTGATTCGTAACGAATCATTGGTAGATGATTTCTGTTCGAATCAGTCATGCTAACTTGTGCGCGCCACGCGCGCAAGTGTCGCTGCTTTTCTCTGACGAAATCACTCGCCAGTACTGATTTCGTCACGATCATCGCAGTAGGTTGATTTGTAAGAAATGCACTCGCCAGTAGCTGTTTCGTAACGAATCACTCGCAGTAGTGATTTCGTACGAAATCATTCGCAGTAGTTTGATTGCGTAACGAATCACTTGCATAGTTGATTGTCGTACGAATCCTTTGTAGACTTATTTGCTAACTGAATACAGTCTATTGCGACGTGGGCGTGCCTGTGGGCGCAAGTGTAGATGATTTCGTACAAATCACTTGCAGTAGCTGATGTTCGCTTAACGAAATCACTCGCAGTAGCTGTTTTCTAACGAAAATCCATCGGCGTAGTTTGATTTGTAACGAAATCACTTTGTAGATTGATTTCGTGACAATTCATTTGATTTCGTAAAGGAATCAGTCTGCCGACACTTGGCGCCATAGGCTCTGAGTACCCTGGCGGGACATAGACCTCGATCTCAGCTGTCATGTGGCGAGCTTGACTGGTACCCGTTGCACTTCCTCGGCATTATCCTTCGCGCTTACGTAGTATCCATAAACCATCTTGCTTCGCTCACTGTTTGTGTTAGCGTGTGCTTCTTCTATATCTATGGTCTGTCCTAATCAGCCAGCTAGCGTGCGGCGGCCGCGACCTCCCCCTTGCACAACTTGCATGCAGCATACCCCTTCCCACTCAGGACTATGAATTGAGCAGCCGAGAGCGCCATCTGTCGTGGAGTTTGCGTGGTGTGACGTTTGTTGCAGATGGCATTCTCTTTGGACGGGCGATTTACAGGAAATTCGTCGGGCATACTAGCGTGACAAGAGTGTAGAGACCATTAAGACTTGGTAGTAAATAGATTTTGTATTTATTTTAGCCATTATTTTTTATTGAACGCTCCAACCTAAGTGCCTGTGGCTGTCGGCTAAACCATAAACACATAGAAATTATCAAGATGCATGACTCCTTCTAGCGACGGTCTGCCCTCCTTTTTTGTTTCTGGAACTACAGCAAACATTAGCGCTGTTTAGTAGGTTCGTCGCATGGAAGTTTAGGTTCATTTAAAATGTTTCTGGTATAGCAATGTGGTTTAGGCTAGGCGTATTGTCTATTTCTTTCATATTTCTGTTAAGCGTGTCATATTACGTGTAGTTTTAGCACTGTTCAGTTTCTTGTTTTGCGCGGTATTAAGCAGTTCAGCTAGGTGCGGCGTCGGCTCGGTTTACGTTGTTTTAGTCATGTGACTCGCCGGTTCCTGGTTTGTCGCGTATAAGGTCTGTTGTGTCGTTGGTGCGCGGTCATTTTGCTGCTTTGAGCCCGTATTTATACGTTCGCCGTGCGCTCGCCGCTTTCTTCACGATGACCATACATTGTAGTGTTGGCATGTCTCTTGGTTCTCTCTAATTTTTCATATTCGGATCTTTGTTATATAACGTTGGGATATAGTGACCATTACTGACATGGGACGTATATTTAAGTGTGCTTATTTGTTTAACTGTTTTCCTGCAGTGTGCGCTACGCATGTGTTGAGTAAGACATTTGGAGATATCAAAGATGGACGAGTTGAGGTTTGATTTTCACGCACGGAAATGTATAACGGAAGATTTAATCGCATTTTAACATATTTTTTTATGGGTTTCTGCATTTTGTATCTTTGCAGCGTATCGCTCACGCTCACGGTCACGCTCTGTGGTTTTTTACATAGAGCGCTTTCGGATACGACGCTCGGATACTAGATGAAATTGATCATTTCCGTTAGGAAAGTACGTACAACTTTTACGGTGTAATGGTTCACGTAACAATACAGATGTAGAAGGTTTTGCAATGTAATGTATATACTTATATATATATATATTATATATACGGCTATAATTATATATTCTATACTATTATATCTGTGTGTGTGCGTGCGTGCGTGCGTGCGTGCGTGTTTGCGCACGTGGATGAAGGTGTGTGTTTGCATGACCCGAATAGCATGTTGACAAGTGTCGAAGGGCGCAGGACCTTCTTTACTTTTACTACACACATAAGTGATATTCCACTCACATGTAGACAGGGAGCAATGTACGATTCTTCGCGTGCTGGGAAGTCGGTAGGGGTTAACTGCGATGTTTTTCATTTTTTCCTTGTGTTTTCCTCTTCCTTATTAGTATAGTAATTAGATGTGGCGATGGCGCTGCTCACAGCCTCTGCTCCCGGTGGTATGATTCACTGGCGAGTACAGTAGATGTATTATTTTGTCAGTGTTCTGTATACTGTACGTGTATGAGTTCACTGATATAAACGTTCGTTTTTTAGCTCATCTGACTGTCAGATGCAGCTTGTAGATATCGCATGATCGTCCGTGAGTCGTGCGTCCGGCTCGCGTTGCTGTCCGTCAACAGTTTGCGCACAAATCTACACGGCTCGAGTACGGATTCGAAGTCGGGACGTGGGCCGGGGGGGGAGATTAATCGAATCGAGTTGGATGTCGAAGCTGGGAGTCAAGGTCAAGGTCAGAGGACGTGTAAAAGAAGGCGGGACATTCCTTCCTTATTAGGGTATGGGCCAAGGAAATGCAGAATTGCGGCACAATCTAAACGGCTTGACTGGGTCGCTGATGTCGGGTATAGCATCATGGTAGGCACAGCCATCAACTATTGCGAATTGGGGTCACATGTCAAATGGTCAATGGGGGCACTTGGGCAGTTTGAGACATTTTCTAGAGGACATGCGGTCTGAGGACGATTGGAAACTTTTTTGTTTCAGCGGTGACTCCATTTTTATGGGCTTTTATTGAAAGGACCATGAAATGTGCTTTCTGACGTGCGAGAGTAGTGTCTGATTAGTCTGAACTATAGCCTCCGCTTCGCGCCGCAGGAGGAGGAGGAGGGGGAGGCCGCTGCGGCGGAGCGGAGGGCTATAGTTCGAGAGCTAGTGTCTGATAACCTTTTGACCCTCAAGAGGGTTAAACATGGATTCCTGAACTGCCTCAATGATATCACAGTGTTCTCATATTCATGGCACATCCATAATCTAGAAACCCAATAAGCCTGGCTAGTCGAACGGGTACAGTGCAGGCGTCACTGATCAACGGTCTTTGGATCGAATCCCATCTGATTTTTTATTATTTACCCGTTTTCTGTATTTTTCCATCTTTATCCATTTAACTATTTTTTTCCAATTAATGCAAATATTTACATTATTTATTTACAACAATTTAATAACAACAAATAATTTGTACAACAATGTTTTTTACATTTTTTTTAATAGGGTTAGTGTAAGGGTTAGGGTCACAATGCACCATAAAACAGGAGTTTCAGGCACGCGATTTGTATCAACCAATGGGATTTGGGAGGTATACAGAATGCAGAAGGTTACTGAGATGTGTACGCAACTGCGTATCTGCATATCTGCGCCTAACGAAGGTGTCACTACGCACGACTTAAATGTTACGTTTATAACCGTAGCAACAGACCTCAGATGAGCCCAGACGCTCTGTGGCTCTTGTTTTATAAAATGTCAAATGTTTGCCCGTCACTCACTCATGAACTCATCCGCTCTAGCTGTTTGTACGTATTCTGTGGTAGGAAGTATGTTCAGCCATGAATAGACGGCAGGGCTGTACATAGCAGAGCACTTAAATCACATGATTTAAGTGCTCTGGCTGTAGCCTGTGGGGGGGGCAAGGGGGCAGCTGCCCCCTAGATTTTGGAGCAAAATTAAAAAACAAGCTTAGCTAATAACCGTAAATAACCCTAACGTGATTTTTTGGTCACTTATCCGTGAAAGCCTTGTCTCAGACCCATCCCTACCACACTATGGACGTTGATCAAGAGCTGTGCCCATCGCTCATCATTATACACAGTTGTCATAAAATTTTGCCCCACCAAGGAATTTGTTCGGCCTATACGGCCCTACCGGACGGCAGTTAGAAGCAGTTGCAGTGCCAGACAGGCGTTGCAGTCAGAATTAATGCCCATACCTTGCATTTAATCCATTTGCATGGTTACTCTAACGTTTTGCATTTATTATAACTTGTGACATAACCGCCGTGAAGCGGAGCGTGACACTAATAATCCTTGCGTTGTAGTGTCTGTCTGCTGTCCACTGTCTGGCGCATCCGAGCGTACCAGGTAGGTGCACTAATCTCTATAATAAAATTAAAGTTATTATAGAGATCAGTGGGTAGGTGCCGGCGAATGCCACACACACAGCCACAGGTCGACTAGAAAACGTTACATAGAATGACATATATGACGGCGATGATGAAATAACAGAACAAATTCAGAATTAAACTACGCCATATCGCTGAAATTTGTCGAAAGAGTGAGTGAGAGAGAGCGCGCGTGAGAGAGAAAGAGAAGGAGAGAGCGAGAGAGAGAGAGAAAGAGCGAGAAAGAGACAGAGCGTGCGATGACGAAAACCGCGTGCGTGCGTGTAAACCACTTATCTCTATTATACTAACTAGTTAGTATAATAGAGATCAGTGGTGTAAACACATTATGGTGATTATTATAGGAACACATATATATAGGAGTGATGGCGGGACGAGAAGAAGGGCGTATATTGGAGAGTCCGTTCCCACATGTTGATGTACCCGACGTTTCGGTGACCGATTTTCTCGATCAATACTCTTGGTTCAGCCAGAGACCAGATGCAATAGCTCTGGTAAGTATACGAACTCTGCGTGTTTGCTAGCTCTAGAACTATTATAGCCTTCTATACAGCCTTCCGCTATATAGATATATAGCTTTCCGCTAGATATAGATATAGCTATATAGCTATAGATATATTAGCCCTCCGCTAGATATAGATATACAGCCTTCCGCTTCTATATAGTCTTCCGCTATATAGAACTATATAGCCTTCCGCTCCGCCGCAGGACGGAGGAGCGGCGCGGTGGAGCGGAGGGCCATAGTTCTAGAGCTACTTGTTTGCACGCGCTTACCCGTTGGGTTTTGCACGGGGTTTTAATTTGCACCGGTCTCATCTTGTACATATTAATAATATAATAGTATATGATATTATGTTATACTCTTCTCATAACACGGTTTTTATAGTCGCGCAATTTGACCGTAGACTGTAACAGTACAGTAACAGTACAGTAACAGTACAGTAACATGAATGATATGGTTAGTTTATGGTTGTACGTATCCTGTTATGTCTCTTATCCGATCGACATGCGTGAGGGAGAGAAAAGGAGAATTGATCGCGCGGCTAGCACCGCTACTCTCTCTGGTTCCCCACCCCGAAATCTGGGGGGTTTTCAACGTTACAGGTAGCGAAGTTCTTAGAACCAGATGAGACGGGATACCAGAGAAGTGTTGCCGAAAGGAGGTGTTGATCCTAACCGCTGAGCGCGGATCTTGCGCGCAGTTCCGCAGCACGGCGCACGCGACCGCGGGAACGTCGTACGACAGTATGCAGCGCTGGCAGCTATGGATCCGTGTGCCAAATGCATAGGCCGGCGCAAGGATCCATAGCTGTCAGCGAACAGTCTGGAATTTTAGGGGGGACACAGAGGGCAGAGATTTGGGATGTGTATGTAAACTTGCAGTGAGAGAGGAGAACACGATGGTTACTCGTTTCACACTGCACAACATGACAAGATCATGACGAGCCAGTACGTGCATTCAGCCCTCGTATCACTCGACAAGTGAGTGTCTGCAAATTTGCACTGACATGCCAGAACTGCCAGAATGAAGTGAATTACACCAATGAGGTTCTCCGGGATGTGTTAGCTAGGGGTTTGGCAGACAGTAAGATTCAACTTGATCTGCTCGGATATCCGAACCAGGATATGACTCTCGAGGAGGTGTTCAAGTTTGTGGAGGCGAAAGAGGCAGGCAAGCAATCGGCCAACAGACTTTTGCAGTCACAGGGTGCAGCTGCTGCACGCAGCCTGTACCAGAAAAGCAAAAGATCATCAACCATGGTTAGAGAAGGGACCAAGCCACATGACACTGATACAGACAGTCAGGAAGTGTGCTCGTACTGTGGTAGGAGAGGTCACGGTAAGAGAGACCCACCTCATGTGAGAAAAAATACCTGTCCTGCTTATGGTAAGACTTGCAGGAAGTGCAACAGGCTGCATCACTTGGAGGCGATGTGCCGCAGCACGACCAACGGTGGGCCTGAGGTGTCAATGGCAGATGAGCAGGGCACGGTTTTTAGCGCACTCTGCACCATCTCTGATACCACGTCACCCAGTGCTGTGTTCAGACCTTAGTCAAGACCTCAACCGTTCATACAGCTGTCAGTATCTTGTAAGCAGGCGGACTAGGACGCTCTCGGACTTCCTACCCATGCCGAAACTAAGACTGCCTCCCTCCCCGTAATGGCAGATACTGGCTGCCAGAGCTGCTTGGCCAGCATAAAGATGATCAACTGCCTGGAACTCAGTGCAGCAGACCTCATCCCGGTAACTATGAGGATGCATGCAGCCAACAGCAGAGGGATCAATATCCTTGGTGCAGAAATTCTGAGGTTCGTGGGAAATGATAAGCATGGTAGTCTGTTGGAGACTAGGCAGGTGGTATATGTCACAGACTACTCTGACAAGATATTCCTCAGCCGAGAAGCACGTGTCGCTCTCGGCATAATCACGGATCAGTTTCCAACGGTTGGTGAAGCCCTGTCAGCAGACTCCTCATCACAGTCAAACAGTAAGGGCGGCATCACTACCCCGTGTACCTGCCCAAAGCGTCAACCCCCTCCAGAGAAACCAAAGTCACTACCCTTCCCTATTCACTACCCTTCCCTACCATCCCTGTTCCTATTCATTGGTGTGAGAAGGTGAAGGACGGTCTCGACCAGGATGAGAGGCTTGGTGTCATCGAGCCTGTTCCTGTCGGTGAACTTGTAGAGTGGTGTTTATCATATGGTCGTTTGTGCCAAGAAGAATGGTGAGCCAAGGCGAACAGTTGACTTCCAAGCACTCAACACACATGCTAAGAGAGAAACCCATTACACCCAGAGCCCATTTCCCCAAGCTCGCTCAGTGCCAGAAAATAAGACAAAGACAGTCCTCGATGCTTGGAATGGGTATCATAGCGTTCCTCTGCATGTCGATGACCGCCACCTGACCACATTCATTACCCCCTGCGGTCGCTATCGTTACAGGGTGGCACCTCAAAGATACATTGCATTTGGTGATGGGTACACTAGATGGTACGACCAGATTATCTAGCACAAGCCTAGACTTCTCTGAACATTGGCACTGTCGATACCAAAGTCCATCTCACTAAGATCCTTAGCCAATTCTGCTTGAGGAAAATTAGCCAAGACGTATCCGCTGTTGGAGGAAATCTTGTGCAGGTGCAACTTTCCTCCCTGCTTTAATCTTTCTTACATTTGTTTCATCAAGATTACGGCCAAGTCCTCATCCGGTAACGAGACAAGGCCATCATCAACATAGAAATTGTTGTGCACAAAGTCACAGACTTGGTCGCAGTGCACTTTGCCTTGATTACATGCGGTCTTCCGCAATCCCAGCATAGCAATGGCAGGAGATGGTGCGTTACCAAATACGTGCACACGCATGCGGTACTCGACAAGCTGCTTGGATGGATCATTGTCTTCAAACCATAGAAAACGCAAGTAGTTCCGGTGTTCTGGGTCTACTTGGCATTGATGTCAGGGCTCCCAGTAGCCTCTGAGTGTGAAGCCATTTCGACATCTCCTGAAGTAGGAACCCCATGTTCCCCGCCCTGGCTTTTTGGAGCCTCTCGCCTGTCAACATGGAAGGTCGAACAATGTGACTTGCTGCCACAGTGTTTGCACTGGCTATCTACCTTGCACTCTCGAGCTAAATGCTTACTAGCACAGCACTTAAAACAAATGCCAGGCTTCATGAATAGGTCCTTCTTATTAGCTGGTGTCATAGATTGGAACTGGCGACAGTCGACCAAACTATGTTTTGCTGTACTGCCATGAAGCACACATTGCGGCGACATGGGAAGATCCTGAATGCCTGTCTTTCTTGAGGATATCATCACTGGTCGCTGAGTGTTACTTCCCGCTGTTTTCTTGGCAGCATATTGTGCCTGGCTTACTACAGGGGCCTGACTTGCTTCAAGCTTAAAGCTCGGGACGTTCATCCTCACGCTCATTTTCGTTATGAAATTGGTGAACACCTTGAAAGGTGGATAAAGAACAGAGTGTTCCTTCTTGTACCTGCTTGCATGGTCTATCCACCTTGTCTGCATGAACAATGGCAGCTTGCTGACTATCGGGTTAACACCACACGAAGAGTCTAAATATGCCAGCAAGGGTTTGTATGCGACATTTTCCTTGACAGACTCGATTTCTGCAAGCAAATCCGAAAGCTCATATAGCTTCTTGCCATCTTTGCCAGTTAATTTGGGGAACTGGTCTAGCCTCTCGCGGAGTGAGGCTTCTAGTAACTCTGGGGAGCCATACCTTTGGTCGAAACGTTGCCAGATCTTGACGAGACCTTGAACCTCGTCGTGCGCATTTGAAGCACGAATGCTTATTACCTGCCTAGTGGACTCTGGGCCAAGCCATCTAGTGAGATCTAGTTCCTCTGTAGGGGTAACATCCAACTCCCTAACAATGTTAAGGAAACTGGACTTCCACATCAAGTATCGCTCAGGCTTGTCATTGAACTGAGACAGTCTTGACAACAACAGATCTTTCTTCATTATGTACCTTGTGAAGTCAGACAGCTCTGGCGTTTGCTTTGGAAGTGGGTGAAACTCAGGAGCATCCGGCTTAAGTTGTGGCTGAACATAACCACTTGCTTCTGTTCCAATGTGCTCATCTTCAAGCTGGTGAGGGTGTTGCACACACTGGCACGGCCTCGATGCCGCTTCAGTCTTGCTCTGATGCAGCCTAGATACTTTGCTAACATAGTTAGCAGTTTTCCTCCTAGCTTCTGACTGCATTCCTGTTCTGACAGAGGATTGTCTCTCTACGCTCTCTTCATCTAACATCTCAGTCATCACCCTTAACTCCGCCTCGGCTTCATCAACCTCGCACTTCAATTCTAGTCACTTTAAATTAACATTGATGTCAGCCTGTCGTCGTAGTAATACTGCCTCTTGCTCGGCATATTGCAGTTTAACCTTAGCCGCCTCGGCCTTGACTCCCTGCTTTAGTACTACGGAGCTTAGGTTCGATCCAGCCCTAGAAGGTTTTACTGATGAAGCAACAGAACGGGACTCGCGTCCTGCCTTCTTGCTGTTGTCTAGCTGTTTCCTCAGCTGCCTGCATTCCTCTGTAGCGAGATGTAACGCCATCTGTTTGCCGCTCAGCAGTTCCTCTAGGCGACAGTTCTCCTCCAACAGCTTCTTCATGGCTCCTGACAATCGCCATCACCGGCCGGCGCCTCCCTGTTGAAAAGGGGGTTAGCTGAGGTTACAGATGCAGCACTCTCTACAACCGAGACTGCCTCTGCCTCATCCTCATCTGTTTCTTTCACCACTTTACGTGGCCTGTCTTTCCTCTTTGGTAGTCCCATGTCCAAGATTTTCTACTGTGCTGTCTTATACGCAAAGTTTCTTTATTGCTATAACACTCTCTCGGAAGAGGTAGAAAACTGTAATACATTACAAACGAGATACATGCACTACAATGTACATCATTACATGTTCAAAATATATCCTGATTCCTTGTCTATCGTCACAAACAATTTTCTACCCTATTAGTATTACCGGCCGTTATATAATTGTTCAATTGCGAATAAAATCTTGATTCATATTGAAGTTCTCATTGATTAATGATTACACACTTGTGCTATTGGTATTACGGCTTATATCTGATCGAGGCTCACGCTATGTAAATTTTAGGTAAACTGAAAATTAACATATCGCAATAAGACGAATCCTACACTCACTGCATACACAAATATACACCGTTACAAGCATATTCTAACAAGCCTACGAAGCAGGGGCGTAGCTACGGGGGGCCTGGGAGGGCACGAGCCCCCCCACAAATTTTCTGTGCACCCCAGGTGCCCCCCCCCACTGAAAATTCATGCTTGATAAAAAAAATTGAATTAAAAACAATGCCGTTAGAACAGTATAATACAAAGAAAAGTTGTATATTGTGCCCCCACCCCGACGAAAATGTAAGAGCCCCCAGGGAAACCAGTTGCCCCCCCCCCGCTGAAAAAATCCTAAGCTACGCCACTGCTACGAAGTCTACAAAGTCTATAAAGCCACGACTTATGATGAAGTTAAACAATTCTAACGAATAAAACTATAACCGTATAAAACAACTCACTCTATGGGGGAACCTAGTTCTTCTTAATTATTGCCTAGAAGACGTGCAACCTAAAACACTGTTCTTTCTTTGTGAACAGAATCCGCGCCAAAAGCAATGCGCACCATCTAGTGGCAGCTAATGCAAATTAAAACTTTTATGATCTATTGTCATCGTCTATGGTGTAACATTACAAGCTCAGTGATTATGCCCCAATATTATCAGATTGGTCGCTGGGTTGGACAGCCTCATGAGAGCAATGAGTGGAGGCTGTCGTACAGAGAGCTGCGGGAGACCGTGAGGAGAGTAGCTAGCGGTCTGGCCCGGCGTGGCCTCAGGAAAGGTGACGTCGTGTTGGCGCATAGTTCCAACTGTCCTGAGTACTTGATCCTCGTGCTAGCAGTTTACTCTCTAGGGGCTGTTATGACGCACGGGTTGCCTGGATGTCTTACAGGTGAGAGCATTATTGACCGAGTACGTTACATTATATATCTGTGTCGGGTACGTTCAAATGGCATTGTGGGTGCATCTACTGTGACAAATTAAGTTCTATATTATGTCTAATATTACAGGCAGGAATTTCAAAAGATTTCCTTTATTACCGAAAGAACATTAGACTAAGAGGGAATATCTTCAATGACAATAATTATATTAATATTTAGTTATCTCAAATTAAATTTCATTTGGTTACTTAGCATCAGCACATTTTTCCCTCCCTGCTGACATGACCCGATTGTGAGGACATCATAGAAATGTTGGTATAGCTATATGTGCATGGTTTTCAGAACTCACTAAATCATTAGCTATCTGTTATTCCTCACCTTATTCTATTTCTCTGTGATTTTTATTCTATACGAATCGTATCTTGGAGCTCTCGTATCTTGGAGCTCTCGTAGCTGGGAGCTCGTATCTTTGAACGTAATGGCTACAAATTTGACTAATTTCCCAAATGTAAAAAAGTTTTCTGTACGCACGTACTAAATATGCATGCATATACTTGTCATCTGCTTTTAGAGGAGATACTTTATAAGCTGGATATTGCAAAGTTCTGTGGCACTGTCAAGTTCTACGTTGTAGCTAGTGACCTGCTCACAACAGCGAAGGAAGTACTCCAATCTCATGGAAAGAACATGGTAATTAACCATCTGTTCTGTATGCCAATTGTCCGTGATGTTGGTGATGCCAACTAACTCACTAGTACTGTCTAGTAGGTGACTCCTATATATAGAAATTGTTTTATCATCTAATTATTATCATGCAATATGTAGAGTTGTTAACGTATAATAGCCATATGAAACGTGTGTTCCATGCTCTTTTAGATCCCGATTTTAATTGGGAATGCAGTGGATAAAGATTTCATACCTTTTACTGATTTGCTGGAAGACAACGGCGACTCATTTCCTAAAGACAACCGTGTTGAATCCGGGGACTTGGCTGCCGTGCTATATTCCAGCGGAACAACTGGTCCACCAAAGGGAGTACCTTGGACTCACAAACAACTCGTGGCTCAGATGAGCGTGCGGAGGTATTTATTGTAACTGGACCACGAAGTAGTAACAATGCCCTTATTGCAACCACAAAACTTTTATAGCAATTAACCACAAACAATTATTGATTCCGGCCAGGCTCACCATGCAGTCTGTATCCAGACATTACCATATTTCGAATTTTGATAAGAAATGGAATCCAGAAAGAAATCCAGAAAGAAATGTCACCTAATGGTAACCCACACCTTTTAAGGTCATAGTTCTCGAAATGAAACTGTAATCCGGTAAATGCAGAGAAAATCAGCAGTAAGTATAGCATGCACACTATACTATTCATAAAAAAACGTCTTGAAATTAACAAGTAAATTAAGTATGGGGTCGTAGCTCGTGAATAACGTTATCAGTTCGCCTTTCCAGCATTAACGTCAGAGAAGAGGATGTATTTCTACTATCGGTTCCTCTAGCACATGTTGGTGGCACAGTATTACCACTAAACGGTTTTAGTCACGGTGCTGCATTCCTAGCCATACCTTACCTCAGCACTCCTGAGCACTACAGCAAAGCTGTTAACAAGCACAAGGTAATTGTATAATAAAACATTTCATCACGACAAATTTAAGATTCATTACTTTCATTCTAGGATATTTGGGCTATTCTAGTATATTACGTGTTATGTGACCGTTTCAACAATTGACACGTATGATATAAATTCAATTTTAGTATTATGCCTATATATAGTTATATTTTCAACTAACATTTGCACTCGTTTAATATTTTATCTAAAATAGTGTTACTGTTTCAACCTAGGTCACTTTTCTGTTTTGCATCCCTCCAATGATCGTGAGCTTAGTAAAGAATCGCTATGATCTGCCAACGCTGCAACGATGTGACACAGGTGGCAGCACCTGCGGCCCAGGATTTCTCAAAGAAGCTAAAATTACATATCCAGGAGTCACCATTAACGCTAGTAAGTTTTTTCATTAACAAATGCTAATATCGAAAAGTGAAGAGACATGTTGAAAATTACAACCACCTCAATTTAATAGATTTAATAATTACATACATTGCAGTGGCCATGTCAGCAAATCTTCAGCGTCGACAATACGATAAGTAAATAATAACATATTAATTACTCCCGACAATAAGCCTTATCGCCAATCGTTAAATATCACCCAGATGCGCCCCGCCGCAAAGCATGATGGGATGGAAAAGGGGGCAACGATCGGCGCGCAATAGATAATATTACGCGAACGCTATGGGTGGATAGGAAAGGGTACTGAAACTTATTATATCGCGCAACGAGTTGAGGTTACATGTCTATGAAATCTAGAGGAATATAGACACAATGTCTTAGGCTATAATCTCTTGTAAATTTTTAAGTTTGTTGAAGCACGACTAGTCTAATTAATTACTAAATAAAATGCGAAAACCGTATCGCGCATGAGGCGCCTATTGCGTGGCACCGGCTATACGCACGGCTATGGGTGATAGCGAAAGGATACTAACTATTATATCTCGCCAAAACGAGTTGAGTTGCAATTCTAGAAATCATAAAGGAATATAGACAAGTCTTAGCTATAATCTCTTGTAATTTTTAAGTTTGTGGAAGCACGATAGTCTAAATTAAATTACAAATATATGCGAACGGTATCGCGCATGCATAGCTGACGCTATTGTCGTGCAGCCGCTGCTTAACCGCTCGTGCGGCGGGCGCGCTAGTAATTGCGACCTTTTCCTATCCATTGACGCATTGGCTGTTCCGATTGGCGATGAAGCTAATATACGTTTTATCTCACCTATTTAGGCATCTACGGAATGACTGAATGCGGGGCTATCATAACCGCCTCACAGGGATTCGAAGCAGCAAGCAACAAACGCGGATGTCTTATAGGAAACCCTGTCGCTAACTCACAAGCCAAGGTATTCAGTAGTATAATCCATTTCGCCTTCTGTGTTGCTCACAGAGTGATTATAGCCGAGTGCGCAAACAGTTGCGGTTGGTTGGATGCAGTTTCCTAATAAACAACAAGAAATATTGCCACGCAACAAATCAAACGTGATCACAAAGAGGCAATAATAAGCCAGTTCGTAGTTAGCCAATGGGTTGTATGACGTCACAGGTCACCGGGTCATTTGTGACAAAAATCGATGAAATCTCGAGTGCGGCGTGCGCTCTCGGTTCAGTACGTATATGTACACGTATTCTGTGTACGTGTAGGCCTAGACGTACGCATGTGTACGTGCACACACACGCACGTGTACGTGCAAACATACGCACGCACGCACACACCTGTACGTGCACACGCACGTACGTGAACGTGCACACGTACGCACGCACGCACGTGTACGTTCACACGCACGTGTACGTGCACACGCATGCAAGCACGCATGTGTACGTGCGCACGCACGCACGTGTACGTGCACACGCATGCACACACGCACGTGTACGTGCACACGCATGCACACACGCACGTGTACGTGCACACGCATGCACACACGCACGTGTACGTGCACACGCACGCACATACACACACGTGTACGTGTACACGCATGCACGCAATCACGTGTACGTGCGCACGCACGCACGCACGTGTACGTGCACACGCACGCACGCACGTGCACGTGCACACGCACGCACGTGTAGGTGCACACGCACGCACGCCCACACGTGTACGTGCACACGCACGCACGCCCGCACGTGTACGTGCACACGCAGGCACGCCCGTACGTGTACGTGCACACGCACGCACGCCCGCACGTGTACGTGCACACGCACGCAAGCACTCACGTGTACGTGCACACATACGCACGCACGCACGCACACACCTGTACGTGCACACGCACGCACGCACCAACGCACGTGTACGTGCACACGCACGCACGCACCAACGCACGTGTACGTGCACACGCACGCACGCACCAACGCA